ATCCAAAGCAGAGGGCAGTCTTGCGGGGCTGAGCCCTTAACCTGTAAGGTCAGATTCTATCTTCAAGTAGATAGTATCAGAATTCAATATAGCTGGTGTCTGATAATTGCCTGGTGACATAGGAACACCCCCACCACCCCACATATTAGAACTGGATGCTCAGACCCCTTTAGTGGCTTTCTATGGAAAAGCAGGGATTGAGATGCACACTCCTGTGGGATGTGACCATGAGGAGGCCAAAGGCTTTCCTGTGCTAGCCAAGTCAGGAAGCACACTCTTCCTTCACATGATGTCACTGTCATCTGATGAACTTCTGTTTTATACAGCTGGAGTCTAAAATCCCACCTGACCCAGAAAATAAATTTTCAGGCTGGAAGTGGATTGACAATTTGTGCCCCAAGGAAATGAAAGTATGTGGGGTGGGGAAGACTTGCTGGGGACATTCTGCTGACTGCAAGAAGAATGACATCTGGGAATGAAGAAAAATCCCAGGGTGGGGGTAGTTCTCTGTCAAAAATACCCTGTGTGGGGAGAGAGGTTCTAGATTATTCTGTCAGAGTTGGAGAAGAGTTGGTCTTTAATAAAAACTGGAGGGGGGAATACTATGATCGAGTATTCTGGCTCAGAGCTTGTCAGAAACAGAAACACAGCTGCAGAGAGAACTGGAAAGTATAAACACATCTGGAAAGGCACGTGGGGAGAGGAGAGGAAAGCACAGACACGAGGAGAAGGAGCCACAGTAAACCACAACCCTGAATAAACCACAACCATTTCCCCAAGGGAAGATCTCAGCAAGTGACAGAAGGGCGGGCTAGATCCACATCACCACTGGGAGGGCTTAAAACACTCTCTGCATGTGGTCTCTGAGCAACCCCCTGTGTATCTATCTGTGACATTTCATGTGAGGGCTTTGCCTTGTCCATAGACACTCTTAAGCCCATTCACAGATTACTGCTAGAGTCGGATGCACGGTTGATAACAGGGCCTCAATGCCCCACGACTGGTGTCTGCTGCTGAACTTTCTTAGATTAGGTCATCTTATACCCTCTACCTCTTTCTCTAGCTACATCTCTTTATTTTTCAAAGATTACCTGCCTCTACCTTAAATATTACAGCTTAACAGCCTTATGATAGTCTTCTTCCTTTTTTTTAATATCCTCTGCTTACCCCAGTTACTCTTTACTGGACATTTCTGATTCTTTGTATGTGGTACTACTTCTATTTTTACATTTTTATGAACTTATAACCTTTCATTATGATATATAATTATTTATTGTATTTTTGTTTGCTGTCTGTCTCCCAACTAGAATATAAGCTCTATTAAAGCAAAAATCTTTTTTTTTTTTTGTTCACCAAGAGATCACAAGCACTTAGAATAGTATCTGATACATAGAAGATACTCCAGAATTGAATAAGGAATGAAATGGCAATCTTATCTATTTCATTAGTTTAAATACAGCTACACTAAAGTTTCAATCTGTTGCTTTAGAGCAACATACTTTTCTGAATTCTAGTTCAATAGAACTCATGGCTTACTTAATCCCTGCCCTTGGATTTCCTGTGGGTCTCTTAAATGCAATAGTTGCAAACAAAAAATTATCATCTCTACCCAATTCTGCTCTTCACTCATGGTCCCTGTCTTAATGAATAGCTGCCTGCTATCCAGTTACTCGAGAAACACCTAGCTATCATCTTTGACACATCCCTTGGTACAAATTGATGCATATTTTGCTAATCAGCTAATCATACCAAGTCAGTTACCTCTAAGATCCTCTTTTTTTCATATGCACAGCCATGACACTTTGTCAAACTCTCATCCAACGTCTAACAGCCTCCTAATAGAGTCCTCTGATTCTATTCCGCTTCCCCCTCCCCCTTTTTTTGAGGAGACTCTGCATTTGCTTTTTTCCCCCCAAAGATTTATTTATTTATGCATATAAGAGCTGGGGTGTAGGCCAGAGTTGTGTGTGGGGGGGTGTGGTTAGAGGATTCACCAGAAAGAGTGGGAAGCAGAACAAGTGGATTGACTGAAATACACTGCTGAGGGGAGCAGCGGGCGAGACAGGAGAGGTCTGCTGCACCATGTGGTTTAGCTCCCTGGCCGGGGATCGAATTCATGCTGCAGTGGCTGCTGATATCTTCATAGTGCTGAGACTTAACCCCTTGTGCCACCAGGGAGGCCCTATTCAGCTTCTCTTGAGTCCACTTTGCAAAACAGCAAGAGTGATTTTTCTACCAGTAAAATCCCCACTATGTTCCTACACAAACATAGCTCTGGCTCCCAAAGGCTCTTCACTGCTATTACTATTACTATTATTATATTATTGTTATTAAGGATATTATTCCTTGTTGGGGAATTAGAAAAGTGCTTAAGTTCCCTTAAGCAATGAGAGAAGTTTGAATTTCTCTACTGCTTTTTTTTTAAGAAGTGGGGTACAGGCCAGAGTCATGGGGGGTGGTGGTGAGACAATTCACCAGAGAGAGGGGAGAGCAGAACAGGTAGATGTACCGAAACACACTGCTGAGGGGAGCAGCAGGTGAGAGAGGAGAGGTCTGCTGCGCCATGTAGGTTGTTCTCCAGCCAGCCAGGGATCGAACTTGCGCCACTAAGGTCACAGACAGCCTCACAGCGCTGCGCTCAACCACCTGCGCCACCAGGGAGGCCCCTCTCTACTCCTTTTAAGACACAATTGAACATGCCTTTATTAACCTGACCTTGCTGAGGTCTTCACCTCCACCCTTTCCTTTTAGGACTCACATCTTCCAGGATGTCCTGGTTCAGTACAGGTATGTGTACCTTCTCATTGTGCCTTTTATCTACTCCCCTCAAAGGCATTATTGCACAAGAAAGATAAATATGTCTTCCGTGTTTCTTTTCTGGTGAAAGTGTGAAATTTGGGAGGTCAGAAATGGGACTAATTTACATGTTGTCAGTGCCTAAATTATTTACATAAATTTTTAAATCAAATTCGCCTTAAAAAAAAGGCCTATGAGAGAGCCACAGTTAGCACCAATTGATGTGACCTGGCTTAAAAAAAAAAAAAAAGCTTGTAAAGGGAAAAAAAAGAAGACTTCAATAGGTAGAGATACTATACTTCTGTCCCAGAAGAATTAATGTTATAAATGTGTGAATTCATCATAAACTATGAATTCACTGCCACCACAAACAAAAGTCTAACAGTATTGACAATGACATATAATAAAATGATTCTAAATTTTACCCACCATATACTTGTGAAAATAGGCAAGAAACATTAGAAAAATCAGACCATTGTAAAGAACTGTCAAGATCGATACTAAGACAATTGTAACATACATCACTAAAATTGGAGAAAAATAAAATAAGGCTGTCCTTAAACCATGGACTTAAACAATTTTGAATGTACTATGTATTGAAATATGAAAATAAAGTATTTTTGTTAAATTAACATTAACATAATGTAAATGTTGGAAAACAGTTTAGGTGAGTAACTGTATTCTTGAGCTAGGAAGTGTTCTCGATAAATTACAAATTCAGAAACCACAAAGTAAAAGATTAATAGATTTAACCACATAGAAATTTAAAACTGCAATAGGTTAAAACACTATACACAAAAATCAAAAGGCAAACGGCAAACTGGTAAAAGGATGTGCAATCCCTATGATAGACCCAGGGTTTTTTATCCCTCAAATAAATAGTTTTTACAATGATGTAGGGGAGAAAATGCCCAGTGGGAAAAAGAGAAACAGTCATGAATTTTAAAGGACACATAACCACATGAAAGAAAATAATCTCACTACAAGTTAAAGAAGGCAAATTTGAGATCTTTTGCCTAGTATATGAGAATCAATAATGAATTTACATGCACGGAACAGATGTTTAAGAAATGAAAGTGATGCCCATTGGAGATGTGTTCCTGTCCTAGATTGTATCAGAATAAAGGTGGAGACAGTGCACTGCTGGGAAGGCTAGTCTAAGTTCAAGGGCATGACACTGAATGTGGAGGGAGAGAGCAAAAAAGAGCAACAGTCATACGGGATATTCAGGAGGTGATGATTAGGAGCATATTGACTCTATTTGAGTTGATATTTTCATATTTGTAGGTTCCAAACACAAAATTCTTGTGGCCTCTCAAAGGGTGGGTGAGAGCAAGATTTCAGAATGTGGATAATAAACTTGATTAGTTTAATAATGAACTTAGTGTTTGATAAAATGTCTCTATATATACTTTTTGACAATGTGTCCACACTTTAAATATATATATTACTTATTAATGATCTATAATTATGCTTGAGGGCAGAATTGCAGAAAGCAAGTGAGCCTTGGGCATGTTACCTTTTCCTTTCTTCCTTCTGCCACAGTTTTCCCAGTAAACTCAGCTGTTTGGATCCATGTGATGTCAATTGTTCAAAAAGTATACAAAATGATCTCGTCAAGTTTATGTTAGAATTGATCCTTATGTCTCTTCCTTGAGTATTTGTACTTCAAACATGTAGCACACACAAGTGTTGTCAAAAAGTTTTCACACAGTTATACAACCTGAACTTTATTCCCAAGGGTTTGTGAATTGGGGTGGCTTTTGGTATCTCCATTTTGGAGAGGGTAGTGACAGGGGGAAGCCCTAGCACAGAGGGGCCAAATAGGGCTGAGAATTCAGGTCTTTTCACTTTTTACTTAGGCCAGTGCTATTTCCATGCTTCTAGTCCATTCTCTAAAAGAGAAGGGCTAGAAAGGACCATGAATCCTACATGATGGGACCTTGTAAGGGAGATATTTGAAGGATTACATCAAGTCAGGGTCTTAACATGTTTTACTAAAGCAAAATTGGTCTATGTTAAGCTGACCTTGGAGGGTGGGTGGGTGGGAGTTCCTTCCTTACTTCCAGGACCCTTGGTAATAGGGACCTTCCTGGGACATCAATCCATACACCAGCCTAGTCTAGTGAAGGTCCACATTTCTCCAAGGTACCCCAGCTCACCTCAGATCAAAAAGCACACAGAGAAACATCCATTTGTTCTACCTTTTATGGCTTCTTTTACAGCAGAATCGACAGGGAGTATATTCTTCTCCACCAGCTCCAGTGGTCCTGGCCGAAGAGCAATTTTTTCATTGAGGTCATCTGCGAGTCGGGCTCTTTTCAGCTTCATCTGAGCAGTTGGAATGGACCTCTCTGCTGTGGAGGCTAAGAGGTTGAAATGAAAAGGACCAGTTCTAGAATTCGATATTTTTTTTGTTATTTTTTTTTCTCCTTTTGTAACCAAAACATTGTGTCACATTGTGCTCTACCATCCTAATAATTTTTCTGGGCAATCATCATCATTTCACGTGGATTAGCAACAAAGACTAGGCACTTCCAAATAAAGGCAAACAGAAAGTCGTGTGCACAAAAAAGTTAAAGAAACTTGCCTGGCGAGGGTTTTTGAAAAAATGTGCAATTTGGTGATCCTGTAAGCAAGCTGTCTATGAGGCTACGTGGCCTGCTGACTCTAAGCTACAGCGTTGAGATGTGTATTCTGCCTGTATATTGCCCAGTGCAGGCTAAGCTTACAGTAGATAGTATATACAGTAGATAGAACTGTAATTATAGTAGTATGACTTCATAAGGGGTTAAGACTTGCTGAGGTTGTGATACCGATTCAAAAGTCCAGGTCAGGTGTAAAAGAATAAAATCAATCAAAGAGTTACTTAGAAGGATTTTTTAAAATTTATTTATTTATACAAGAACTGGGGTAGAGGCCAGATGTGTGGGAGGGTGAGAGGATTCACCAGAGACAGAGTAGGGAGCAGAACAGGCAGAACTACTGAAATACACTGTTGAGGGGAGCAGCGGGCAAGACAGTAGAGGTCTGCTGCACCATGTGGGTATCTTGCCGGCCGGCTGGGATCGAACCCATGCTGCGGAGGCTGTGGACAGATTCACAGCGCTGCGCTCAACCGCCTGTGCCACCAGGGAAGCCCAATCGGAGGGATTTTAAAAATTGATTTTATCAAGCAGGCAGCTTCTTATCATCTGGGGGGTGAGAAATGTCCCTCACAGAGCCCTAAATCATCTCTAATCTTCCTCTTTCCCTTAGACCTTGACTTATTTCCATGAAAGAAATTCGAGGAGAATCTAGTCAACTAGTTATTGCTAAAAATGCAGAACCATACCTTTAGATTCTATATGAGCTTACAGCTTCACTCTTAACTTTGCAAATTTAGAGGTATTTACAACAAGCCTCCTAGCCCCACTGTTCTATTATTATCAACCTACTGACCCAGATCTTGTGTCTGATCTAGAAATCTCCACACAGGACAGATCTAGGGATATCTAATTATTACAATAGGTAAGACTTGTCTAGAAGCTGAATCTGAGAAGCATTTCATGAGAGATGGAGAAAATATCACTATTGCAAACCAAAGCATGGACAGGCCTAAGACTAAATTCTCTCCACTCCACCCCACAGGTTATAGAAGGGCTTTTTGTGGGACTCTCTGCCTCAGGGGTCCTTCTGATCGCTCCTGCACACCAACACAGGGTTCATCTTCAGAAAACACTCTCTGTATCCCCCAGCAGGATGCTCCTCTCTATCCAAGTCCACCACACCACACTCGCCACCAAAGCAGCCATAATTCTGCACCATAGTCCACTGGGCCCCTCCCCCTTTGCTCCCTACTCCTCTCCTTGGCCCTCTGGTAGCCTCAATACCATAGTCAGATTTCTGGGGGTTTGTTTCGGTTTAATCTATTCCTTTGTTTTGTTTCTCTATATTCCACATGAGTGAAATCATCTTGTATTTGTCTTTTTCCTTCTGATTTATCTCACTTAGCATAGCATAATCCATTCTAGTTTCATCTATGTTGTTGCAAATAGCAAGATTCCATCTTCTTTTTTAAAATAGAGCTGAGTTGTATTTTATTGTGTATGCATACCACACTATCTTCTTACTCTACTCATCTGTCAGTTTTCTTTTAAAGCCTTATTTGTAGTTGCTGTGAGGTGTTCAGTCACCTGGATGGTTCATAATTTATTCAACCAGCCCTTTATAACTGGACATTTCACTGTTTTCAATGTTCCACTACTCAAATTAATTTCACAAGATCATTGTACATAAATTCTTGCATATCAATTTCTTTGGCTAAAATACTGGAAATTTTTTTTTTAGAGAGGAATGTTTTTATTTATTTATTTATGTTATTTGTTTGTTTGTTTTTTGTTTATACATGCACTGGGTACAGTCAGAAGTGCAGGAGGGTGAGAGAATTCACCAGAGCCAGAGCGGGGAGCAGAGCAGGCAGAAGGACGGAAGAACACTGCTGAGGGGAGCAGTGGGCGGCAGGAGAGGTCTGCATGCCATGCGGGACCCTCCTCCGGTGGCCAGGGAGCAGCCGGGGATCGAACCGGCACCGAAGAGGCCACAGGCAGCTTCGCAACCCAGCGCTCAACCGCTGTGCCACCGGGGAGGCCCTAAATACTAGAAATTTACTGTGGATTAAAACATGGACATAATTTTAAGGGATCTGATATATGTTGGACATTCCCTACATGATCATAGAGAGATAGTAAGTGGTGCAGCTGAGATTGGAAACCAAGTCTGATACCTTCTTAACCCCATTACACAGCTTCCTAATTTTGTCTACACGGCCCAGAAGGACTGAAGGGTGGCTTGAGATTACCATTTTTGTAAAGGCAGGGAAGACTTTTTAAGAGAACTTGTAAACTGTACAGAGACAAAGAGCCCTAGAGAGATGGCCCACCCACACAGGCATCCCCTGGTTTGCGACTTCATGCAGACTTACCTTGAAGTATGTGCATATTAACCGAGTCAGCTCGGTCGGACCTGTTTCTGACCTTGCGCTTCAGGTTGTCTTCAGTCTGTAGACACAAACACAGGAAAAATCCTACTATCAGTGTCACACAGTGCATCACCTAGTTTTAACTTTAAAGAAACCCCAGTTTTTCTCAAAGGGGAAAAGTATTCTTTTTTCAACAAATTGAACATGCAAATATCCCTCATCATCTTCTTTATGAAGAAGATGCACTTCCAAAAATCTGGTAACTTAGGATAGAAAAATAAGATAAAGATGTAAACACAGTCCACATCAGGACTACAGGCTTAAATTCCTTCAAGGGTCAGGCAGGTACATTAAATATATGGTATATTTAGTCAAATATAAATAAAACTGATGACACTATAAGCCGTTTATACTATAGTCAGTCCCATTCCATTGGATATTAGAACAGTCACAAAAGTAACTAGGATCAGAAATGAAATGTAACCTAAGTCTGCTTAGTATGACATGATAACATGTCCATCTTGTGTTTTTTCATTTGACTTTTTTCTTAGGATATGTGAAATGAAAAGCCTGCTGATCAGATCTACCACAAGCTTGGAAGAGAGATTTTTTTACTGATTCTTACCATCTTGCTGATGCCTTTGCTATCTGTAGGGATGATGTGGGCTGTGGCAGGGCCACAACCAAATGTCAGGTCCTAATTCTAGTTCTGGGCTTTGATCTCACTACATTGGATCTACTATTTGGGGCTCGAGAGGGTTCTGCATATCACTTCAGTTCTGCTAAAGGACAGTTATTCTCCAGGTGATATGAACCATAGCCTCTCAAGAGCAACTCTGAAGAATTATAGTGAGGAGCTCCTTTCTCCACCCACAAACTAGCTGCAGGGCTAGCACCTTCAGACAAAGAAATCCCAAGAGAAAGGCATCCTCTGCAGACTTACAGTTCCAGTGCTTGCTAACTAGCATTTATATTATTGATGAATGCTGGTTACAGAGATTTGCCAGATGGTGTAGGACATGAACTAATGTCCCCTCCTCTGCAATGCTACATAAGCCAGGAACTGAAATAAAGTAAATTCTGTTTGCCGTCAAATAACTGCAAGTAAAACAAATAAATTCTAAATCCACAGACCCTGCCTGACCATTGAATTGAGTTTTTTAAAAGACTATTTTTTCCTAAGAAAAGGCTATAATGAAAAGCGAGGCAGCTTGCAAACCAGCCTTACTCCCATTGTATGTCTCTTTGATCTCTATTGTATCCGTGAGTTGATTTGAAAACCCACCCCTGACATTAAAAAGAGTGGGGACAATTTTTTAAAAACAAAAAATTAGCAGTTTTGAGGTTAAGATATTTGATCTTTTCTCCATGGTTTTCAGTTCATACCAGTAAGATTTTATGTAGTATGGAGGTAGAATATAAGCATATCGGTTGAGTTTGTTTTAAAAATGACAGTAACCGATGTTACCTCAATAATAAAAAAATTAAAAAATAAAAAATAAAATAAAAATTCTTTTTTCACTTCCTTGACAACTTTAAACAATGAAGATAGTATTACGATTTAAAAAAAAATATTTTGCTACTTTAACCAAAACTAAGCACTGAGAGGAAGTTCAGGAAGGCAGTTTGCAAAAATTACCTTGTCACTCTCCAAATGTTTTCTTTGTTCATGGAATTCAGTTGAACTTTTCAGTGCTGAAACAGAAAGATGTATACATGAGCAGAGGTGGGCTTTGGAGCCCTGGCCAGCATCGCAGCATTTGCGGGTGCGCTTGCTGAGCTGTGCACAGTACGGACGTGATCACCTTAATTAGGCCACAAGCAACTGAAGAGGAGAGGCCTGGACGACACCAGCTTCCCTGAAGCCATAGGATACAGAGGGAGGTGGAATTGAGGACTAAAACAGGAGCAGTAGAGGCAGAATATGTGGCAAGAAGAGAAGTAGCAGAGATAGGGCATTCCAATTTCGGAGGAAACGCAGGGGCCCATGGAAAGTGGGGACACAGATAAGGCTCTACTTTGAAGGAGAGGGTAGATTGGGGTAACAAAGTCACCTCCTGTGACTTTGCTCTGCCCTTGAGTGCAGAAGTCTGTGTGGAGCTGTGTTCTGTGGGGCAAGGGGTGTCTGATTTGCAGGAAGGGAGTTGTTCTTTGGACATGGTACACACTGGCCAGTCAGGGACAGCCAGCACTAAGGGTGCTGAGTGAGAAGCACAGAATCAGACTTTGAGAACTAGAAGGGACCTTGGAAATGGTGAATTACAACTCCAGCCCTGAACAAAATGGGAAAATGGAGCTTCACAGAAATCGGTTGACTTGCCCAGGGTCATCGTTAGGGTTGGGCGCCTAGGTCATTTGACAACCTAACTTCTTTCAAGATGTGATGTTCAAAACATGAACAACCAGCAGACACAGGCACTGGCCCGAGCACACAGCAGCAACGAACAACCTGGATGGAGTGTCAGCCTCCATTCTTCCCACTAGCCACTGCTCCTCCGCCCTGTTTCATGGTCCCTCTTCACGTCAATTTAGGAAACTCTGTGAACTCAGCAAAGAGTAAAACATCCATTCAGCAAAATTCTATTTTTCTTTTCAGTTTTCCTGGTCCCCTGGAACAATCTCAATCAAGATTCACAAATTGTATTTGCTACCTGTTGCACTTGCTACCTCTGTGGGTGATTGAAATAAACTGGCATATTACAATAGTAATCAAAACAAATAAATAATTACTTTTCATTTTAAGTGGCAATGTTGATTAGAGGTTGCAGAGTTGCACGGAATATTTTTCTGAATGGTAAATCTGGATAGGTCGATGAATTGGATGATGCAGAATTCTAATGTTACTCCACCAGATGCTCACTCTCAAGCAACAGACAGTAACATATTCATCTAAATGTTGGCTGGCATAAAAACTGGGTCACTGGCCAGATAATATTTGGGGCTGTGTATGTGTGTATGTGTGTGCATGCATATGATGTATACATGTGTGCATGTGTATATGTGTATGCCTCATCTGGCCCTTAAAACCATGGTATATTTAAGCACAGGTTTCAGATGGGTTTGCTGGGGATCAAGCTGACTCCAGGGTAGTTGCTTGAATATCACCTCTCCATTGCTCTTAAGAGCAGCTTCTCTTTGCTGCCTTTCATTCTAACACGGGCTATCTGCAAAACCTGCCATTTCAAAAGCCCCACCCCTCCACTCCTCCGCACTCAGTAGCTCTGATAAATTGTCAGAGAAATGTGTGGTTTAGGGCACTACTCCTGCATTTCCTCTGACTTGGATCTGGTCACCATCCTTAGTAAGGAGGCCTGGCTTTTCCTGCATTTGATCACAGTTACAATTTACACTGACGGAGTCCTGAAGAACAACTCTGGCTTCCCTAGGTGACCATATCCTACAGCGTCTTCCTGGCATTCAGTGGGCCCTGGTGAATCTGTACAATCTGTTGTGAGAGGTCTTCACCTCTATCATACTGTCTGGTGTTCACTGGGTGATATATAGTGGTGTGACTTAGACATTTCCATAATCCAGAAAAGGAATTGATCTTAGTGAAGCCTTACTGAGTGGTTAAGAACAACAAAACATCGCTTTCCTCAAGAAGTAACCCTAAGGGAACAGTATGAACCTATCTTGAAATATCACTTACATTCCAAATGCAATTGGTTTTAATTGGATTTATGACTTTGGAGGAATTTATCTGGTTCTCTTGTCCCTGAGGCTCTTCAATTCTAAGAAACATTGCATTTCCGGTATCTTAGCTTGTAGGACTTAGATTTATCATTTCTTGGTGTGAATAACTTCCCTGTAAAATGATTCATGTGGTCTAGTCCTCTGATGCCAGGAGCACACAGATCTTCTACCATGGGGTGGGAGAAGCTATGTTCATTTAGCAAGGTCTTGAGAAGAAGGCCAAGAGGTGTATGAACTGTATTCTACCACACAGGATTTTCCTTGGGGTTTAGGAATGTTATATGGGGCCATGGCTTGCGGTCACACTGTGGAAAACAATTTCACCATGGCCCTGTGGTTGACATTTGCCTTTTCCATGACTCCAGAGAATGTGGGTTTTAGCCACCACCTCCCCTGAGGGTCAGCAAAAGCTATAAGGCACAACCTCCCCTCACATCCCCCTCAAGTTGACTTGTTGGAAATTTCATAAAGGACCTTTTTTGCTGCCAGCCGTGGGAGTATCAAATGGCAAGAGATTGTATTTAAGGGACATTGACATTTAAGATGGAAAACTAATTTGGATTTCTAAATTAAAAAAAAATAAATCAATGTGATCTCAAATTAATATATGATTATAAATTCAGTCGGCCACACATCTAACTCATTCCCCCTGGAGGAAGATGAATCGCTTCTCACCAGGGAACTCATGTTCTCGCCTCAGAGTTTAGTTACGGGCTATTCCTGTTTCTGTCCCCACAGCTCCAGCTAATTTGGGTCAGCTGTGTGTATAAACATTTGCTTACTTAGAGCTCAGAAACAGATTTCAAGATAAGAACAGGCCTCCTGCAGGCTTCTGCTCTCCACTTTAACTCTGTGTCTCCAACAGGAGCCCAGAAAAAGGAAAAATCAGTTAATTAAGAAGAGGGGCTTGATTCCCCAGCAGTGTAGGGGATGTGGTATTGGTGGGCAGAGACAGGGCTGTCTATGGCCAGCCTGACATCTCTCCCAGGGTCCTTCACAGTCAGGCTTGGAGGGAGAGCACCCCACACCTTTAGGATTATGGGTAAGGACCAAGAGGCAAAATCAAAGAAGTGGATTCTGGGGAAGCAACTGGACCAGTAGTTCTCAAAATGCAGCCCCCACACTAACATTTTCAGCATCACCTACAAATTTGTTAGAAATGTCAGTTCTTGGACCCTTCCCCAGAACAACCTTGCCAGACTTTGGGAGTGGGGCCCAGAGATTTGTGTTTTAACAAGCTCTCCAGCTGATTGCATGCAGTTTGAGAACCTCTGCTCTGGAGTTTAGTGGGTCCTAATCTAAGGTCCTTGGCAGTCTAAGAGATGAAAAGGGGAGCACCGGTGGGTGTTTTGGGTTGATTTTCAGTATTTCAAAAAGCTGAAGAAAATGTCTCTCCAGAGAAAGACTGTGGCTAATAGAGCTGTCACTTTTCATTGCTGCTGCCTAGAATCACGACGATGTGGTTTGGTAATGGTTCTCATCACAAAAGTGCTGGTCTGCAAGTTTATACACCATTCATGAATCAAAAACAGACATGTGGATTCATAATTCATATATACAGGGTTCTTTGGGAAGAAGACAAAATTATTTCACATTGAAGATCTATGGCAATGATGAGTATAATTAAAGAAAAGTCTCAGGTGACTAAAAATTTGGGAAGTATCCATTTGGGTCCAGTCCTTGCTCTGTCATCTATTTTCGGTATAACCTTGAACAATTCTGATAATCTTCCTGTGTTCTCAGTTCCCCACTTATAAAATGGTTTTAGTAATGCCTGTCCTCCCTTTGCCTTGCTTTTAAAGACATATTGAATCATGAATAGTTTTCTTCCAAGCAAAAGGGATATAAACTATGAGTAAGTGATAACTCTTGGAAATTATATTCTCTTTAGGTTGGTAATAAATTGTTTATTCAGTACCCAAATGATAATCTTAGGAGTCTAAAAATAGTAGATTTTCCTAATGGAACTCTGCAATATTTAAGACCTGCCTCAAACACTTGGAGAATTTGATGAAATTTCTCAGCAGAAGGGGTGCAAAACAAATTCAAATTATTCTGTAATTATTGCTTTACTAGTTTCTAAGGAGCAAGGAACCAGAAAATTAAAGGAAAAGTGGGGGTTGGGTGGGGGAGAAAGAAGTTAGAATTTTTGACCAAGAAAAATTTTGGCAGAAAAATCCAGGGAACCTTTTCCTGTCTCTGAATTTTAGATGTTAGAAGGAAGGGAAGAGGCGGCCGGATTAACCCCCTTGTGCAGTGTTCTGCTCAGGCAGCCAACAGTGTGTGGTAGGGTGTGGGAGAAGCCAAGTCAGACGAATGCACTGAGAACAGGAAGAAAGACTTTGCCCAGTAAACTTCTCAAAACTATATGAAGCTGCATGTGGTGTGGGCACAGGAATTGCCCCAGTCATTCTTCTTGCTATTCAGGAGAAGTATCACAGAATTCAAGGATTTACCAAGGCTTTGCGGTAAGTATGTGGCTGCTGTGGCTTGGATTAGTCTGCAAAACAAATAAAGGCAGCACCATTCATAGACAGCTCATCGTATCTTTAAAATCATTTACATTGATCAGACCGTGGAACCAAGCTGCCCAGACATTTTCTTCCTCCTGGCCAGTGGTGGCTTTCTCCGTGCCTCTGTGGAGAAGTCACAGCCTCTCTGAATTCCCAGTCCTCTAAAATCCATTTCAGTTCTCTCATCTTGTTTATGCATTCCAGGAGAATACAGATTTTCTCCACTCTCCCATGGGTTCTTATAGATCACCCCACTCAAACAGCAGAGGGAGAGGGAAAGAGAAAGCGGTTTCTTTCTTTTAATCCACCCAGGTACCCACATCCATGTATTGGTGTTACCTTGCCCAATAGTGGTAACAATTGGGCCTCCCTGCTGGCACAAGGGGTGGAGACGCAGCACTATGAAGCTATCGGCAGCCACTGCAGCATGAATTTGATCCCCGGCCAGGGAGCTGACCCACATGGTGCAGCAGACCTCTCCTGTCACGCCTGCTGCTCCCCTCACCACTGTATTTCAGTAGATCTGCCTGTCCTGCTGCCCACTCCATCTCTGGTGAATCCTCTCACCCCCCCATCTCTGGCCTACATCCTAGCTTTTGTATGCATAAATAAATAAATCTTAAAAAAATAGTGGGAACGATTAAACAGGGGTGCTTTGGGGCTCCTGCTATATGGTAATCATGTCTGGTTCCTCTGGGGTCCATAGGGCCTTCCTCATGGCACATGGTCAAAAATATTCTCTGAATTACTCTATAATTATTTATTGCATCTAATCCAGATAGCTGGTCATCATTCTGCACCAAGGTTTCTGAAGCGATTGGAATAAAATGATGTTGTTTAAGATGCTACCCAAGAGAGCGATGTCCAAGGAAAAGAGTTATGGAGGAGAAAATCTGCAGGAGAAATGATCAACAGATCTGGCCTCCATAGGCCAATGAGAGCATGAGATTTTCCTGCCCTTCAGTCAAGAGAAAATAGGGAAACTTGGTGTCCTCTTGCAGCCTTGAATCGGTAAGGGAGGGGCAGTGAAGCCAGTCCCTTTGACGTCTGTTGAGAATCTCTATTTTGAGATTATTAGAGATAGAGTTTTTGGCATCTGTTCAAATAATAAATTCATTTTACAAAGGGAGGGTTAATTGACATATAGCATTATATTAGTTTCAAGTGTACAACATCTGACTTTAATATTTATACATTTTGAAAAATGATCCAAACAATACATTCTTAAACTAATATTTCTAAGTTAACTTCTAGACGACGTTGCACTAAGATTTCATGATAATTTTGAAAGTGTGAGTTCTACAAATGGCATTATCCACATGAAAACAATCTTAGAATCTGACCTGAGACTGTGCTCCAAGCCTGAGAACAGTTTCCCTGCTGTGCAAAGTTGCTGCAGGGCTTCTGTCCTCAAAGTTGTTGTAGGGGTTCTGGCCTCAGAAACCTGCCTTTAACTAAATTCAAGGAACAGTGCCTTAAATTCATTCAAAGCTCCTGAAGGGGAAAACTCAAGCCCAGAATACACATAAGAAGTAAGTAAATGTTGAAGATAAATAGTTAAGGGGAATTGTAGAAGAGAATGTGTTGCTGGTTGCTGGCAACTCATCAGCAACTTCAAAAGCAAGCCCAAGAAGGAAGGAAATAATTTTTCATTTGAACTAGTTTCACTAGCCAACTGAAAATTACATATGATTTAGTTCTTTGGAGTTAGTGAGGGGGAAACCTTATCATTTAACCATCAATGTGATGTGCAATTGAAGTGAGATCTGCTATAAAGTTAGTGGAATTTTTCTTTCAATCTTGGTATAGATTATAATGTAGAACCTGAAGTTATTTCATTAAAACCATTGGTTTATCCTTGGCATTTTCACACATGCAACTCTAACTATTTTTTTGGCAACAAAATGCTTTAGGATGGAAATTTAGGTGCTTTTAAAGTGCAAGTAATTCCTTCTGAATATCTGAGAAAAGAACCGTATACAGGGATCAGGAGACACGGGTTCTTCTGTGATGCAGGTTTGTCACAATAGAAGATTTCTTTCTTTCTTTCTTTCTTTCTTTCTTTTTTTTTTTTTTGCTATGGACTACCTCTTGAGATTTGACCTAATATAAAACTCAAGACTAATTCTGCTAAAGGGTGAAAGGTAGAGTTTCTGTTGATCAACTAGAAACAGTAGTGCTATACAATAATGCTATAAGGACAATTAACACGACCATCAAATTTCAATTTAGGCAATTATGATGTTTTAAAATGGGTGTGTAGGCCTGAAATTTTTCGAATTTTATGAATAAAATGAGACTTTACTGATAATTTTATTGAGCATGCATTTAAGTTTCACAATTCAAATTTGAAGAAAATAAGACCACATTAGAACCTGGCTTTGGGACACTTGAAAAATATGTTAGGCCTCCTCAACCTCACTGTCATTAACATTGAAGAGAATGGGGCATGGACTAGATCACAGATGTTAAATTCTATTGTGAAGAGAACCGACATTTCAGGGAGGATAATTAGGGCGCAGCTACATGGGGAGACCAAGTGAATGGGGCAGAGGCTCTCAACCCTGTTTCAGCCAGTGTATATCAGTGTATATTCTTCCCTTCATTCTATCCTGCTTCCTTCCTCTTTTTCTCTTTCCTTCTGCTTCAAAAAAGCCAAAGAATAGAACGCTGAAATAAAAAGCCCTCTTGTGGAAGATAGCAAGTTACACCTTAAATTATACTTTTCTGTTTTTTTTTTTTTTTTTTAATCACTTTTCCCCCTAAAATCTTGAGTCTCTCTGAAGGAGAGACTACATGCAGTATTGCATGTAGTCTGGTTTGTCATAAAATTTGTTGACTTCGATGGAACTGCAACACTTTCTTCTCTCCATGGGTTGCCTTTACACTTATACCCTTGGGTGCTGGGTAAACATGCCTCCTCTGCACTAAATTTAGATCACATATTCCCTCTCCAATTAGGTTGAAGATATTAACCGTCTCTGCCCCAATCTCTCAATGGGTGGATATTCCTCTGGGGTCTGGTTTTCTGAGAGGAGCTAAGGAGTGAAGGTCTGTCCTTGCTGGGCCAGCAGTGGGCACCACTGTGACTCTGACCCTTTCCCATGGGAGAATCTACACACTTGAAAGAAGGTGGCTGAATATTAGGGAAAATGAATGATAATTAACCTTTATCATTTTACTTAATTAAAAATAAAAATCATTTTATTATGCATAAGACTTTTTTAGTAACTACATTGACAATAGAGTATGAATTTCAACCAAGCAACATTTTATTCATATAGAAACTATTTGATTCTGGAAATCCAGAAAACAAATCATTTCACACAAATGCATCTGTGTACTCTATCCCATCACACAAATGGGCATTTGATTGACACAACTTCCATAGAGATGTAATCTCCCAATTGGTAGGAAATTTCAAATATATCTTCTCAATAATCTTTCTTTTTTTTGACCCAAATTATGGCCAGTAATTCAACAATACAGCTAAAAAGGAATTGCTCATCACTCTTCCACAAGGGAAACACTTGAGAATATTCAATTCATTGTGGGTTCCAGCACCTCAAATGGAAGTGAAGCCAAGGAAGTGAGAAAAAGATTATGTGATGATCCTTCTAAGGAATAGTGATTATAACCAATTCTAAAAATAACAGAAGGTGAGGAATGCCCATAATGAATTGTGTTTAGAAAAAAAACAACCTAGACAAACCTATATCATTAAAAGGAAGCTCCCGCAGATGACTAGCATTTGAGCAGAGTATACAAGGTCTGGAATTTCTGTTGAGACAGGTTCTATGGGAGATGAAAACATGGTGCCCTGAGCTGCTTTCCAGCTCTCAGATAGGATGGTCCAATGGTGATGTATGAGTAATAAGAGACACAGCTACTCACGTGGTATTATGCCTTGGTTAGCCAGCTGTTCCTGGGTCCTTCTCTGTTGAAGTCGTAACTGCAAAACTTAGAAAAGGAAGCATTAGTTTGTGAGTTGCGCTAAATATGACTTATTTTGCATCATACACATCTTGCATGACTTTTATTTCTAGAATGGTTACAAAAGTGTGAGGTACATTTCATTTCCATTGTAGATATGGAGAGAGAAGGATGAGAGAAGCAGAGAGTGGCAGGTTTTTGCAGCAAGGAGGTGACAAGCTGGGATTAGAACAATTGTCTCCTCTTTGAAATGAATCTTATTTTCACAGCAGCAACTTCCCTTTTTCTCTACTAAACCACCTGGGAAATGAATACCATCACCATCAATCTCTGTTAGGGATTTAATACCATCACCATCAATCTCTGTTAGGGATTTGTCTGTGATTTCAAAAGGAGAGACACAAGGAAGAAAGGCTTTGGAGTCTCACCTGGTTGAAATCTCATCTCTAGTCCCTTCATAGGTGGGTAACTCTGGACAAGCTGCTTAAGCTCTCTGACCTTTACTGTCCTCGTTTATAAGTGGGAACAGTGCATACCTTGTGGTGTTGCTATAAAGTTTGATAATACAATGTACACAGGCTGCTTAGCAGAGTGCCTGGCATGTCATAATTCATCGATAAATGGTAGTATTATGAGGAGATGGGATCCATGTGGAAATTCAAACAGGGTCTTTTGGAGTCATGTCTTTTTTTTTTTTTTTTTAAAGATTTATTTATTTATTTATACAAGCACTGGGTATAGTCAGAAGCGCCAGAGGGTGAGAGAATTCACCAGAGTCAGAGCGGAGAGCAGAGCAAGCAGACTGACGAAGTACACTGCTGAGGGGAGCAGCGGGCTGCAGGAGAGGTCTGCGCGCCATGTGGGACCCTCACCCGGTGGCCGGGGATCGAACCGGTGCTGCTGAGGCTGCGGGCAGCTTTGCAACCCAGCGCTCAACCGCTGCGCCACCGGGGAGGCCGCTGGAGAGTCATGTCTTACTTAGAAAAATTTAAATTAACTATAGTCTATATTATAAAAATGTGTTACTATCCATATCACAATTTATTATATATCATACATGCACACATATAACAGCACACACATATCAATAGTAATATGCTTTTTACTATTTATAAATTATTTCATATATATATACTAGTAATAGTATATGATGAAGAAAATAGAAATGGAAATGAAAGAGAAAATATGAAAAATTTTGAACAAAATGTATCTGAAGAATTTGGTGATATGAGGAAGGAGAGAAACATATACTACTATCTATAAAGGGAGGTTAGTTTGGGATCTTTCAATACGCTGTAGGAAATTCAAGGATTCCACAATTGTCATGTACACAGGTGGCAGCAAACATCCACCTTTTCTTGGGAGAGAGTCCGAAGTGTTTGTCAGATTTCCAAAGAAGGCCAAGGCCTCCAAAAGGTAAGCACTACCAATCCAGAAGTAGGAAAACCTGGGCTTCCTGAGAACATGTAAAGATATCAATAGCTCTCTCTTTGCGGTGCACTGTACACATACTCCCAGACTAATTTCCCTAAAACTCTTTTCATAAGATTACTTTGTGCAGTGTTCTGTTGTGGCCTTGTTACATTTCTTCATTTCTTCTTCTTCTTCAACACACCCAAGCCAAACACCAATATATGTGTTCACATCCTTTGCCTTTTACCAACATGGGTCCACATGTGGAACTTGGTATATGATTTGAGGCTAGGCTATCATCTTAATTTATTCCAACTAGTTGGCAACTGTATATAACTACACACAACCACCATTTGTTGAAGAATTTTCCTTTGCTCACTGATTCGTAGTGTGGCTGTTGCCATTTACTAAACTTCTATATTAAGCGCAATCTGTTTCTAGGTGCTAATTTCTAATGTACAGTAATTTACACTTCCTATCCCTTTCTTTTTTAGCAGCAAAAGCAGTAAATGTTTTCTATTTCAAGATGACAAACTGAGCACATACCCGATTCCTATAAATAACAGAAACGATGGTTTTAAAAATCTATACTGACATTGGAAAAGAAGGATAGGGTTCTTCATTGGATCAGATCTACAAATAGTCTTTAAGACAGGGGCCTCCCCGGTGGCGCAGTGGTTGAGCGCTGGGTTGCGAAGCTGCCCGCAACCTCTGCAGCGCCAGTTCGTTCCCCGGCTGCTCCCCGGCCACCAGAGGAGGGTCCCACATGGCGCGCAGACCTCTCCTGCCGCCCGCTGCTCCCCTCAGCAGTGTACTTCGGTCCTTCTGCCTGCTCTGCTCCCCGCTCTGGCTCTGGTGAATTCTCTCACCCTCCCGTGCTTCTGACTGTACCCAGTGCATGTAAAAACAAAACAAACAAACAAATAAAATAAATAAATAAAACATGCCTCTATAAAAAAAAAAAATTAAAAAAAAATATATATCTAAAAAAAAAATAGTCTTTAAGACATAGAAAGAATATGGTATTGAAATGGAAAACTACATCTCAAGATAGATGCAAGTGATGACTGAAAGAAGAAGGAGGTGGTCGAAGGCTCAGTGACAGGATTGTTAGTTGAGGTGTCAAAACAAGAGGTCAACCTCCACCTCCACCTGAAGCCCTCTCCACAGTGGACCAGACACTGCTTATGGGGGATGCTACCATCTGTCTCTAGGTAAGAGCAGCAGATAAGGTATGTCGGGAGACACAGGAGTGGGTTTCCAGATTGTTGGCAAAACCCAATGGGGTACTGAATCTTTCACTATCTGAAACTAGCCACTGGTAACCCTGCATATCCCTCCCAATCCTGGAGTCAGATCAAAACACAAGTGTCAGCAACATGTCTTTTCCCCACAGGCTGTGCTCACCTTCACACCAGAGAGTCTAACAGGTTTCCACAAAGGCACAATGTGAGGGCATGATCAGTAATCACCTAGTATGGGAGGAATGTCAGCACCATGAAAGAAAGACTCTAAACTTAGAAGGAAAGAATGTATGGATTGAGATAGACAAGACAATTTTCATTAATTAAAAATAAAATAAACTATCTCACGTTCATTAAGATGACTAATGAGAGAGAGAAAGAGAGAGAGAGAGAAACAAGTGCTGGGGAGACTGTGGAGAAATTGGAATCCTTGCGTACCATTGTTGGGGATGTAGAATGTACAGGCACTATGAAAACAGTATGACAGCTCCTCAAAAAATTCAAGATAAAACTACCAGTGGTCCAGCAATGCCACTTGTGAGTTTTCACTTAAAAGAAATGAAAGCAAAGATTTGAAGAGACCCACATTCACAGCAGCACTATTCATAATAACTAAAGGGTGTAGCAACCCAAGAGTCCATCAGTGGAGGTATAGACAAATACAACATGGTCCATACACACAATCGAGTATTAGCCTTAAAAGGGAGGGATTCTGACACATATTGGTGAGCATGGATGAAACCTGAACATTATGTGAAATGAAATAACCCAATCACGAAAGAACAAATACCATATGATTGCACTTAATGTGGTATTTAGAACAGTCTAGAGTGAATAGGATGGTGACTTACAGGGGAAGGGAGAAATGGAGGATTGCTGTATAAATGGTAATGGCTTTCATTTTTGTAAGATGAAAGGAAACGTGGAGATGGAGGGTGGTGATGGTTGCACATCAGCGTGAATGTGCTTATGCCATTGAAACACACTTAAAAATGGTAAATTTAGTGTGTATTTCACTAAAATTAAAAAAAATTAGACCAAAGATCAAAGTAAATTTTAGTTTACTAAAATAAGGATGGCTGAATCTCAGAATGAATATAATTACAAATCAATTAGTATACTAGAAGAACGAGCTGAAGTGTTCTCTTTGGTATAACACAAAAGGATAAAGAGGTGGTAAGCAAAACCAGTATTAACTCAATGTATAAACATTAAGTTTCCAGGAAAAAAAGTACTTATCTCTGAACTTAAGATAACTATCACTAATATCTGATGCATTGCTAATATCTGATGCATTAAGGTCCTTCTTCCTATATGATTATGGGGGATTACATTGTAAGTTTTCCTCCATTAGCTGCTTTTTTATTACTTATATAGCATAGGTATATCCCAATATCATTTAATATTTTTAATAGATGTTATTTTAGTCACAATATGGTATTACATTTTTTGGTTATTCTATAAGGTCTTGAAACAAATGTCCACTGTTGGCTATTTAGTTTGTTTGCAATATTATTTTACCATAAAAAAACAGCAGTGAACATTCTTTGTAGTTAATGTAAAACCAGGTCCTCAATATTTCCCTAAGTTATATTCCTAGAAGTGGAACTGTTTGGTTATAGGAAATGTCAAGTTTGAAGGCTTTTGGTAGGTAGGGCAAATAGCTCTCCTAAAAGGTGGTAATAATTTTCTTCTCAGTAGCTCAGCATGCCTGGGTTACCTACTGCGTTTGGCCTTGCTGCTCTTATCACTTGGAAGCTGCTATACTCCTTATGTCCACTGAAGCTGGAGGCCTGGCTGCCAGTTCAGGGCTCCAGGCCTAAAGGGAGAGACTGGGAGCCAAGGCCAGGATAATCTTGGCAGTGGATTTTTGTCCCTGGATGGCTCTTGTTCAGAGCAAATGTCCACATCCTTTTCTGTGGTTGCTGCTGCCTGGCATGTGGGAGAGCCCCGAAATCTTGTGCTCCGTGAAGCAGTCCTTCCCTCTGGGTACAGCTGCCCTCAACCATTACTGACCTCCTTCCCTCTTTGCCTCTTTGTGTTTTGCTGAGCAGTGCCTCCCGCCTTGGTTCAGCTTGCTGTGGTCACTTGTGTCCCCAGAGCTCTTGGCAGAGCTCCACTCATCCACTATGGCTAAAAATAGATGGAGCAGCGGGGTGCCTTTTGGCCCATGCCTTCTCCCCACTCCCAGTTCTAACCACCTACAGATTTCATGGAGCTTTCTCACCACTTCCTTTAAGGCCATATGGTTATCTTTGGGAAGTAAAGAGAGGTGAGCTCTCGGTGCCTTCTCCATGCCATCCCAACATGTTCCCTACAGCTCTGGCATTTGGGTGTCAATCTTTCCAAGCTTCTGGAACCCAAGTCATT